TTTAGTAAGGTGTTAACATTTTCTTTGGATGAAAATCATTTTCTCTTTCAGCCATAAAATATGAGCCAGAAATTCCTGCAGTTACTTTGGCAGCTTCCCTGCAGAGTCTCCATCTTGTCTGGACTGGTGTTAGAGAAATATCACCTTAGATCAGTGAAGACCGTCACACTGTGGACGCTGCACACATAATGTTGTGGAATTGTTTTACAGCCTTCTCCAGAATGATACCTTTCAAAGACGAGATCCCCTTGATCACTGTGCAGTTTCAAAACTTCACAGTTTCAAACGCTGTTTGAACCCTGAGCAGCCATTAGATGCTCTTACAGCTGCTGTACAAAAGCGTTCAGACCTGTTGAAATTCTCCCATTTCAACATTTCCTCATTTGCACCTTTAGGTAAAAGAAGCAAATGAGAAAATGTAAGAAAAACAGTATATTTTCTTTTCTCTTACACTTTCCCATTAGAAGGTTATTTTTGTTTTTAGTTAAATTGGCTACATGTGACAGAGGTGGAGAAACACTGCAATGCTTTTCTTTTATTTACATGTGTTACATCACAAAAACCTGGCATCTTAGCAGGACTGTGTAGGCCTTTTAGAGCCACTGTTAAACACCCTCACAATGAACACAAAGAAACATAAATAAGAGCCAAAAATATGAAACTGGTATGTTCGTTTTCTCCTTTAGAATCAAGTGGCAGAACAGGAATGCCTTCTTCTCTTTTATGGAGCAGTTTCACTTGGTAAGAAGGGCTTCCATAGTTTCTAAACTCATTTTTTATTCCTATATTGGATTACTTCAAGCCATTTCTCAAGCACTTAGATGAATACAATACTCTCTGTTTCCCAGAGCCTTTTTGTCTTACTCAAGATTGCATTAGCATGCAGTAGGGGGTCGGTGGAGGCGGAAACACAGTCTGATTTGTCTCAGAACAGAAAGCTCTTTTCCACAGCAAACCCTGATTCTACCCACAGCACAAATGCCTCTTGTTGGCGGGTTTCAAACACCTATATTTAAAAGATAAACAAATAGACAATTTCTGTGTAAAAAAAACAAAAAAACAATCAAACTCCTGGCATGCCGATCTCATGAGGCACAGTTGCTTACTGCGTTTGAATACAGATGACATGAAAACAGGCCATTTGTATGGCGGCTTCTTAGCAGCAGCAGCAATAAAACGTGCCACCTGAAAGCTGGGCATCGGTACCGAATGAAAAACCGACAGCAGGTCTAAAAAGAGGGTAGGAGGAAATCCTTGGGAGAAGCGAACTTGATCGCAGAGACAGAACATTACGAGGAACAGGCAGGAAACCACAGAGAGCCTGCTCTCTGCACAGCTCTGTTGCCCAGGGCAATCCTGCGGGAGATCGGATCCAAACAGAATTTAATTTTTACCTCAACTCTTACAATCCCCTCTTGTATTTTTTGCCACTGAAACTTACTCCTTTAAATATTAACATGAAGAAGAAGAAGAAGAAACATGGGAGTTATTAGTCACTCTGAGGACATGATTTCTGGATATTGTGATCCAACAGTTGGAACGAGAGTCACAAGCATAAACTTTTCACTGCGGCGCAGGACTTCAAAAAGCTTAACAAATCAACACCTCTCAGTTTCATAAAGCATAAAGTGATCTCACTCTGTTTTCTGATGATGCTCTTCCCTCCGATCCAACCCTGACAGAAGACCTCATGATCTCCACACAGCCGCTCTTCGTCTATGACCTCAAAGATCTGAGACATCACCAAGCCAGAGGTGGAATATGGGCCCGGGGTGGGGGAGTGGGGGGGAGCCAGCGCCAGAACCTACAACCGGCTTCATCTGATCCGCAGCTGCACGCGCTGACAAACAGGACCACCGGAACTCTGGCTGTTTTCACTATAGGAGTGTCCTCATTAAGTCAGAGCCCTGAAATGTTTACTCCTGCATTTGTTTGTTTTAATTTCATCTGTGCGCCACAGCGTAAGGGCGTGTGTGTGGGTGTGTGTGTGTCAGAGGGCCTTCCTGGATAAATAGGATATAACGGTGAAACTCTGCAGGTCACCTGCTGCTCTGAACTTTGAAGCACAACAGCTGGAGAAAATAAGGCAGAAAAATAATGTGCTCGGAAATTAAACAGAAGACATGTGTGCACCGACGCGTGTTACGGCCAGAAAGCAGATGGATGTAAGTTGTCTGGTGAAAAGAGGACGATCTGGTCTCCAAAAAGCATCGATTTTTAGAAGAAGAGCTCAACAAACATGATCTTTGCTTTACAGAGTTCTTGAAAGACAAATGCATGGTCCAGTAATCCAAATCCAAAACCCCGTTTGAACAATGAGTGACATCATCTCCTCTTAAGTTGCCATGCAAAAGTGTTCAGACCTGTTGAGATCCTCCCATTCCATCACAATGCAGCAGCGAACTTCGATGTGTTATACAGAGATTTTGTTTGCTACGCCGACAAAAAGCCTAACTCTGAGACAGAAGGGAAGTGGTACATGGTTTACAACTTTTAGCTGTGAACTTTAAAAACTTACAAAGCCTTACTAAGCCCAGCAAAAAAAAAAAACCTAAAATACAGAACTAAATCCAAAAGAGAATGTGTGGAAAAACCTAAAAGCACCGCTTACAGACACGATTCCCCCAATTTTCACAGAAAATTATCATTATTTTAAGCTGTAGCTCTGCTACATCACTGATTATGCATCACTTTGTGTTGTTGTATCATATAAAATCAATGTAAGGCCAACTAAATCTAGGTGGGTGAATACTTTTACAGGGCACTGTAACTAACCTCCACAAAGCAAACATGTTTTCAGGTAACTGTTCCCCAATTTAAATGGACAAAACAAGCTGAGATCTGGAAGACGATCTAAACATTTACCTCAGATCAAAACCTGTTCCACTGAAAAGTCACATCTGCACAAATACAAACATCATCTCAGAGAAAATTATCCTCGCATCTTTGCACAAAATTCATAATCGGACCACATCCTAAATAAACCTGATGTTTCACTTCTGCAGATGGACTCCCAGGGGGAAAACATGAATAAATAAATATCCAATACAGCATAATAAACGTCTAGAATTAGACACTTTAAATTGCAGAATGAGTATGAATATATTAGTATCCCAAATTAGATTGTTTTCTGACAGATGTTGTCCTTGGAGACGGACAAAAGTCTTCTTTATTTTACAATCCGATGAATAGCACAACATGAAACCTGTTTGGATCACTAGGTGAACAGAACTTGTTCATCTTACACAGGATCTGCTGATGCTGTGAAGTTAGTCAGATGAAAGAACTATTATTTTCTGAAACAAATCCTGTACACTGTGTACAGCTATGAATGAGAGTGAGGTGTATGAGAGGACAGTAAACTACAAACTACAAACTCTACTGAAGTATTCCTTAATCCGTTCACAGACACCAGAAGGAAGTTTTTCTCTCTGCCTCAGCTGGGCATTAAGGGTCTGAATTGCATCCCATGCCTGGACCTTGAAGCGTTTTCCCATGAGATAACAAATAAAGACAGGAAGTCTCCGAGGGGCCCTGGCTTAACTTGGACCAATGTGGTTCGATAGTAGCCAAATTAGGCTAGTTCTCATGTTGGCAAGAGGGGGGGAAAAAACAGGAAGCTGCTGGACAGATGGGTGCCAAGACGGACTGGCACAGTGAACTAAATCAGTTCAAGAGAAAATGCTGAAAAAAAATCATCTTTGGGATTGATTTCATAGAAACTTTTATTCTCTATTTACTAAGGGGGACCCAGTATGGTTCCTTGGACAGTTTAGGGTAGATCTATGGGCTAAACAAAACATATTCGCTACATTGTTTTTGCACAAAATCATTCTTAGATAATGAGATTTCTGCCTATTTTGAGCTCCTTTCAGAATCAGCTGTTTTAGTGCTTAATGTCACTTTAAACTCAAATAAGCTGCTGCTAACTCTACATTCACACTCGCACCTGAAAATGGCCCCAAACAGATGCGCAGTTATACAAGCGTACATCTTTGACCCTGAATCAGACCCACAAGCAGAGGTAGAGCCTCCTGCACAACCAACAAGAATCCAGCAAGTGGTTTCTGAATAGTAAGTCAACAACAAAACACTTATCTTTTCCAGCAGCCATTGTACAGTGAATACAGCGGTAAAACCAGCTGACCAAACGTGCTGGAGCTCCACTTGGGTTGCTAGGTGATAACCAGGGCTCGGCTCGGGTTGCTAGGTAAGGAGGCTGGCTTCGGTTGGGGTTGCTAGGTAACGCCTCAGTGCCCATCATTGAGCACTGAGGCTCAATGATGAGACAACAACAGTTGATTGTTAAGTCAGCTGTTGTGACTTAACAATCGAATAACATTAATTTATTGCCAAAAAAAAAAAGCTAGATGGTTTTTAAAGTACTTATAGGCTGTTTTAAAAAGCAGTTGAGACCCAAATGGGAATACAAAAATGTTGAATTTTTAAATAATCTTGTGAAAAATCCTATGCATTCTCTGCAGTAAAAGTTGGTGATTTTCAATTATTTGATCTAATTTCATAATTTACTTAAATTAAAACACAGTTAAAGAACTAACAAATTAGAAATGTACTTGAGGGCTGAAAATAAGCTTATTTAGTTGATTTAATATGCATCAAAATAGCCCATTAATTGTATGTATAAGCCAGAAAAACTCTGCAGAAGCACAAACAATGATTAACCACCTACTGGAGCTGTGACTGATTTATAGTAGTAAAGTCAAGTAAAGTTCAAGCAAGCAACAATAGCAATATTGGAATGATTGATGGCCTCATGCCATGCGTTGGTCTGTTTCACGCTTCAATATTTCCAGCATTAAAGACAGCATTAAAAGTTTACTTCAGTGTGGCACACACATATTCACATTTTGAATGTTTTACCCGCTCTAGAATGTTTTTAGCATGTTTCAAACCAGTTTTACAAAAAAAAAAAAAAGACCACATCTTATAGCAGACAGTAGGAAACGAACGAAAAGTTGTCTTTCTGCCGGAGAACTCACCGCTGTAGAAACGGATCATGCAGCTGAGGTCAGAGTTGGCCGCTTCGTCCTGTACTCGCACCGGGTCTGCGTAACCCATCGACGTCAGGTAGTCGTAAACCATCTGGAGGGGACGCTCGCTGGGGTCCAGCCTCCTGCAGGATCGACAGCATCCAGGTTTGGTGTGGCAACAAGGACAACCAGCTTTGGAGTGAAATATATGTCTAGAAGAGGACCTGACCACAGATTTCAATAAAAACTCATAAGACGCAATGATCTTTCAGGGCTGTGGAGCCACCAACAAATGTTCAGAGAAATCTTTTGCCCTGCTGATAGTTGAGTTGCCTGGAAGAGCAACGCAACCAGAGTTGAAGAAAACTAAAAAGAAAAAAATAAATAAGAACATTGTTTAATTTATTGGTTTCAAAAGTAGAAATTCATTTTTCATCTTTCATTATTACATGATGATTTATAAATGTTTAATCTTTTTGGAATGACCCCTTTCTATTTGGTATAAATATATTTATTCCTTGTTATTCTTCAGCGATTCACAGTATTCACATCTCTAGGACATTTTGTCACACTCAAAGTACAAACTTTAGTGCAGTCAGTCCAGACTTGCAGTGACAGACAAAACTCAAAATGTGGCATTACGGTGACGTGGAAGGAAAATATACATGGTGTGAAAAAAATGGTTATGCAAAACAGCTGAACGTTCCTGTATTTAGCTCCAAGTACTCTGACCAGCTTCCCTGTTTGTGCTAAAAACAAAGCATCGCTATGACCGCGGGACATCAGTGTGATGTCGCTTTTAGGTTTGAGCCATGCACAGAGCTTGACTTGAGGAAAATGACATTCGATCAGAGCTCCTACTTCCAAATGTTTGCTGTGTCTCCAAACTACAAACAGAACTTCCTGCTTCTCTCCATTCACACATAGAGAGATTTGCATTGTGCACATCAGCTTTATAGATACTGATAGCAGAGTTTCAATGGGCCTTTTGGCTTGTTCAGTGATTAATGCTCTCTTTTCTCTTCCTGTTAGGTAGACGGCCATATCGTCGCTATACGCTTCCCATTTCCAGATGATGAATTGAACAGTGCTTGGCACACTGTTTTACGACGGTTAGGGTTCCTGTTATGTCTGCATAACAGAAAGGTATGTTGGCACTTTTCCTCTAACTGCTCATCTTATCAGTGGTGAGCTCATAAAATCATAACTCTGCAATGTTTTTTTTTGTTTTTCAATATCTGACTGGATGAGCTTCAAGAGCCATCTAAGTTTATATTTACATTGAAAGGTAAAGTGATTTAAAAGGCCCCTGATATCGAACTGCATTCTCCTCCAGGGAAAAAAAAAACATTTAACACCAATGTTAGGGCTTGGGAGTCTCTTTCAGGACATTTCCAAAGGATGACTGTAGCTGGGGGGGAACTCCAGGAATACCCGCATCGTGTAGGAGGGATTACATGCCCAGTCTGTCCAGAAAAAGCAACTAATGGATCCCTGAGGAGGAGCGAGCTGCTGGGAAAAAAGAACCCTGGACCGGCTCGGTAACCCTCTTGGAACGGGATACCCACCAGGACAGGGATAGACGGTCCAAAAATGGAAAGCACGGATCGACACGACTCAACCTGTTATCTTATTAGGTTCTGGTGTAAAAGCAGAATTGCCAACAGAAAATGTCATTATAAAGGGTCAAAGATTGCCTGAAAGCTGCACATTATCACCACACACTGCTAAAGGCACGGAAGAAAAGCTTCTCTTTCAAAGAAAAATAATCTACAAATTGTTTCAAAACTTTTGGGTTGAAAGTCAAATATCTTACAGGTTTAAGAGACCAATATATTCCTTTAGTGATCAAATTCGTATTTGACTAACATTTTTTGGCTCCTCAGCAAAATATTCTTTAGTTGTCACCCTGCTATAGAGACATCCACTTCTGTTATTGTCTCAAGCTCTCGCTGGTGAGCTTGAGATGATTGTTCATGCTTTTGTCTCATCGAGATTGGATTATTGTAACAGTCTGTTCACATGTCTTAACAAAAGGGAGTTTGCGCGTTTGCAGGTAGTACAAAACTCAGCTGCACGCCTGCTCACTTGCACTCACAGGAGGGAACATATTACACCCATCCTCAAAAGCTTGCACTGGCTGCCTGTACCTTACAGGATGCACTACAAAATCCTGGTACTGACTTTTAGAGCTCTTCATGGACAGGCGCCAGACTATATTAAGAACCTCATCCAGCCTTATGTTTCGACTAGGAGCCTCAGGTCGTCCAATCTGAACTTGCTGATGGTTCCTCGGACCCTTTTTAAGACTCGAGGAGACAGATCTTTTACAGCTGTGGCGCCTCGCCTCTGGAATGAGCTACCTTGTACCATTCGATCTCTGGATTGTATAGACACTTTTAGGAAACAACTTAAGCCCCACTTTTTTAAACTTGCTTTTTAGCGTAATACTGTGTTTTATTGTTTTGTATGTTGCTTTTAATTTATTTATTTTTACATTTTGTGCAGCACTTTGTGACTCTGGTCTGTGAAAAGCGCTATAGAAATAAAGTTTACTTACTTACTTACTTACTTATAGATTGCAAAACTGCAAACTGTGACTAACTACCCTACTAAACAACAAATGGTCATAAATCTCTTTCTCTCTTTATATGAATCAACCTAGGAAAAGTCAAAATGGGGCTTTATAAAGTACAGTTGAAGCCTCATTAGTTTTAGCACCAATGATCTAAAAAAAAAACACCCCAATCTTTAACATCGTTCATTTTCTCTATAAGCTAAATGTACAGAAATTAGTGGGTTGTTGTTTTGTTTTTTGTTTTTTTTTTTAAAGTGTGAAATCCCTTCATTTTATTAAAATCCATTCTGCACATATTCGGCAGGTATGTTAATAACTGCAGAGAACACTGCATAAAAATAGTTTTGTTGGTACCACACAATGACAGCCAAAACTTTCACTCACAGTCCATGAGTAAACTGAGTGAACCGTCACACTCACACAAGATAAGGCGCTGAGATTTAAGCTGAAGCCGAGCGCTTATTTTCTACAATATCATATTCCCCACTTTGGTTTTTCCAAGAAAGAGCAAAAGAACAAATTCCTTCCTGGTCACGGATCAGTGAGCCAGACAGTCGGAGGGTCATTTGCTGTTTTGCAGAGGGCCTGCTGAGGACCTGAAGGGGGTGAACGCACCTTGAGGGTAAAATCGGTGAGGTGCTGTGGGAGTTTGGGATCAAACGGTATGTTTTGCATTCACTCAGGCTAGTTCACCGTGACATTCTGCTTAAACTATAAAAATTATGTCTGTTTAGCTAATAATCCTTCTGCATTGCCTACATCCTAATGCAAGTCAATACACTTATGGCAGCTGTGTCTCTAATGGAAGAGACGCGCTTCCTTCACAGGCTATAGCGTCTCACGTTTCACTTCCAGTTCTGCTGCGCAGCTGAGACGCGAGGCGTTTCTGATCTTCCAGAAATGTTTTTCTTTCTCTTCTACATGATTTCACATTAGGCAGCGGTTTTGGTTCTTTTGGAGCGCGTGAGGATTCTGGTTTGGAGCGGATCCACAGAAGACGTTTCTGCAGGACTGACTGCAGCTGCTCGATCTTGATGTCAGCAAAGTAATTGCTATTGTTTAATTCAGAGTTTGCAAGACGTTTCCAAGAAAAAGCCCCACTCTACATCATCAGCTTGGCTTCTTCATGCAACTTCATGTACTGCACAGAGCATTTACCTGACAAGGTCTCCATGCAGCTGAACGTAGAGTCCCTGTCCGTTTCTCTGAGCACAGAGCTCCTCCACGCTGGTGCTGGTGGAGCAGAGCACCAACTGCAGGTCTGTCTGTGGGGTGGAGGAGGCCTGTGGGCCGGAAGCAGGCGGCTGGGGGTCCACGGCGCCGCCGTAGAGACACACACAGCCTCGCTGGGTGTCCCCCTTCAGCCAGTCACGCTCTCGTGACCCGAATCTGGTTTTCCTTGTCGTGCAGCTCCGGCTCCCGTTCCTCTTCATGTTGCGCTGCGGAAACAGGGAGGTCTCTTCAGAACATGTTGCTAAAGAGTTTGAAGGAGGTTCAAAACCCAGCAACGACAAGAAACACGAGTTACTGCTCACCAACTGGACGATTTGTTTGATTCACTTTCATAAATATAGTTTTACAGCTTTTTGAATGGAATTAAAGAGGCAGCGAATGAAAAAGAAAAGTACATATATTAATCTGTCATTGCTGTAGCAAAGAAATATTGAAAACTGAAGTTAATTTTCCCCCCCTCAATATCACTGTAAAACAGTAACAAGAGCGTCAATGTGGTGTCACTGAGTCACATGGTTGATAGGCTAATTGATCGTTTAGGAGGCAAACCTTTTTCTGTCCTACCATCACAAACAGTAAAACTTTACTTTTTAGCTATACGTGAATCATGAGTTTTTGTTAAGTGAGATTATGCTTGAAAATATGTAAAAATGTGGAAAAGCACCTCATCTGTGGGCATCAACTATTCAAACATTTCATACATTCATGTTTTATTTGGTTAAAACGAAAAATTTCCCAACATGTTTTTTCTCCCCATTTTATAAACGTACTTAAAAAAGCTGGAGTTCTCTGATGATGCTTCTAACATAAAGAAACATTTATTTCAAGACTTAAGACACCTCTGCTGAATAAAGATGCAAACTTTTACAGTTTTGCAGTTTTCATTGCTAACTGTGCTTGCTGTAAAGAAAAGCAAAAAAACATCAACCAGCTGTGAGAGTCGGTGTAAAAACACTTCCCCTGCTTTTTCTGAAGCAGCACTCTCCACAAGTTAGGACTCACTTCAAATCTTTGGTTAGCAAAATTACCAAAAACTCCAGAACATTATATATATGTGTGTATTTGATTGTTGTGTTTTGCTTAACACTTGTTAGGTGAGTTTCATTACAAAAAAAAAGCTAAGCTACAAACCAGTAATGTGATGCTAAGCAATATGATGCTCAGCTAATTAAACTCCAATAATTCCAGCTGCACGTGACAAGAGACACTAAATCACTTTATCATGGTTTCTAACATATTCTTACCATCAGGCATGTTTGTGTCACTGAGATTAAGCTCAAGATATTCTAGACTTTTCTTAATACAAACTTCCAACAAACATACAATCCATGCTTTTGTCAAGGATAAAATTAATTTTTCACAACTTACAAAAGGAAAACATGTTGATGATGTTGTACGGGTGAGAACACAAACTGAGCTAATTTAGTCAATAACGTACTTAATAACGCATTGAATAACTCTCTTACAATTGAGATAAGTTCCAGATAAAAAAAGAAAAAACCTCAGAAGCAGATTTTTTTTTTTTTTTTTGCCAAATTAAAGCAACTCCACTCCCAAAATTGTCCCAGCAGTTCAAACAAATGCTATTTTTGTGCAGTCGCATTTACATTAGAACAATGATTTCTAGCTCTGTAGCCAGGAGTCCAACACAGTTGTGAAGTTTCTCTGATTCAACACACGGGATCCAACCGAATGAGTGAGAAGCAGAACTCAAGACCTAACAACAGGATGAGGAGATAATGAAACCGTTTAAATCAGAACAAGGAAACGTCTTAAAGATGCAGGACAGGAACTGAGCTACCACTCCATTAAATGTTCATTTGGAGGTCTTCATGTTGCTGTGTGCTCCATTATCACAACTTTCCCATTTGAACTTCATTGTAAATAACCACAGTTTTTGTCAATAACCTTTAAATTCAAATGTGACAGAAGTTTAAAAGTTCAAAAAAAGACTTTGAGTAAACCATTATTATTATTATTATTATTTGAGATTGCAGCTGTTTAAGAATAGCAATCTTCTTTTGTCTTGACCAAGTAATTAGCTAATTATACATATGCATCTTGTCCAGAGTGCCCTTTCACCAATGGGAAACAAAAGCACCAAAAACATAAAAATAGAAAAGATTGCCCTGATCACGTCTTCTAAGACTAATGGATGCCCAGTCAGCAGCGGTTGGGCACCGTAATGACACTGCAGGAAAATATGACTATGCACTTCAGATGGTTAATAGTTAAAGTTTGTATAACTAAAGGGCCATTTCACTGTTTTTCAAGGAATCTGAAGTCTAGTTCCAGTTCAAAATCTGAAATGCTCAACCAGGTCAAACCTGTATATTATGAAAGATTGTTCTGAACAGCTTTGAGTTTTGAAACATATTCAACATATAAATATAAAGAACCCCACTTATAAAAGAGTCTCATTTTGTTCATTCTTATTTTGCTAGCCAACTATGTGGTGAAAGTCAAAAATTAAAAGCAACATGGAGAGTAGTAATCCTAAATACCAACCCTATCTTGAGGTGAATGAAGATACAGACTAGAAATTCTGAATGTCTCCATTTTGCTTAAACTATAATTTATTTTCAAACACGGCTAAATTTGACATAATTACTACATAGTCTTAAACTGAACAGACATGTCTGACATCTGACAAGAGATATCACCCTTTCACTGAAGACAGCTAACATTTGGGCTCGTTTTACTGAACATTTTAACTGGTACCTACATTTAATTTTTTTTAAAATAACACACCAAGGAGGACTAACTCCCTGTAGATGCTTGCCAAACATCATTTTTAAAATCATCAGAAACCTGGGCAGGACTAGGCCTTCCTGTAACACATCTAAACACCCCAGTGTGTTTGGTAGGTCTCTTGGTATTAATTGGGTTTTGGTGCGCTCCTCCCTGAATGACAACCATCATAACAGGCGTTACATAACATTGCAAGGATGCATTTGAAATCATGCACTTTGCCCTGCTCGGTGATCCGCTGCAGCGGGCTACGAGGCAAATCTTTCCCCGTCGCCAGCGCTCTGTCCTGCCTGATTCACCCGGGGGGGCACAAACCCTCCCACCATGACCTGCCTTCAGCACTCGGATCCCGGTTGCAGAGTGAGCTCCGGGACCGCTGCGGCTGCCGCGACCCGCAGTCCGGCTCAGCCCCGCCTGATGGACCACCGTGTCCGGCTGCCTGTCAATACAAGCCCCGTTGTCTCCGGCATCGCCTCCCTTCTTGATGTCGGCTCGGATGTTGATCGCAGGGACCGCTGTGCTGTTATCCTCCTCCTCCATCGCCATGTATGTCCCCCGCCCCCCTGTTAGCAGCCTCAAAAGGCAGGAGCGTCCCCGGAACACGGCTGGTAAATTCCCACAGGGAGAGGAAAATTCATCCTGTGTCGGCGCTGCGACGCCATATCCCGACTAATCTGACTGCTGTCACACAGGCCTGCCCGCCTGCCGGGGAGCTGATCAATAAACATTACAGGGGCGGGTTCAGGCTTTCCTTTAACTCTCACTGGTCCTGTCAGAGGGGAGAGGCTTCAAGTGAATAATAATGAGTTTTATCACTCAAAAAAAAAAAAAAAAAAAGGTTCAAGTGGAGTTACAGTTTAAGTTCTGACTGTATTTAGGCAACAATTAACTTAAATGTAAAACATTATTGTAAAGCAGAGGACGCCAACTTCCTATTATGTGTAAAAACCAATAGTGAACTTCTTTGGGACTCAGGTTACATCTAAGTTATTTTTTGCTCATCCGATGCTTGTGTGTCTTCCTGTTCTCATGCTGTAGTAGTAGTTTTATTTTCATAGCCCACATTCCTCGGGGTAAAAATAAAAAACATGGTTACAGATGACATGTCGACCACAAAACTCGACAGCAAACAAAAACAAATCAAGTGAAACAAACATGCTGTACTGGGGAAGTGGTAACTTAGATTTGCGGCAGTGCTTTGTAAAATGATTCATGTGATATGCAATCACTGAGAAGTTTACAAAAATATGCACAGTTTTCCATTTTTTTTAATGAATAGAAATGTGAAAATTGTGGAGTGCATTTGTCCTCAGCCCTGCCTAATGAACATTTTTGCAGAGCTAACTTTGCAAATCATTAGCAGTAAGTCTTTGGCCATTGTTTTTTCAGAAAATTTGCACAAGCTCAGACTGAATGGCAAGCATTTGACATTTTAATTTTAAGCATTATTGAGAGACCACTCAGATTCCACTTTTAGAAGTTTACTAAATGACTAAAAAAGTAAGTTATTTCATTTATATTTAGTCGTAACAATATGTCACAACCTGTAAAATGATCGGAAAGGTGGAACAAATGAATGTGCAAGTGCATTAGAGGTCAATACCTAATTATTGATTTATTCTGGATCTTCAAATCAATAAAAAAAAAATAAAAAAACGACCAATTTCAGATTCTACCTCTGAGAAAAAGTTACTCATTTTACTGATCAATGATAATAGTAGAGAAAAATGTGCATTCATTTGTCATCTGCCTGAAAAACTAAACGTGTTCCTGGATCCTGTGTTGTGGCCTGGCTGTCTTGGATGACGGATTCCTGCTGCAGTCGTGGTTTGCTGGAGGACATCCCTCCCATCACCGAGCCGCGCTCACGTCTCCTCCTCATGACCGCATATGCTATTTTCACTAAAACAAACTCCTTCCATTTGGTGAAGACAGATGGCGGCCCGTCCTCAGTCTGGTTCTGCTGGAGTCCTCCGCTCCGCTGTTGCAGTCGGTGTAGCGTCCCGGTCGAAAAGATGGTCTCTATAACTGATGGTTCACGTTTCTTTATTTTAACAGCCTTTACACATGAACACACCGTAAGAGCTATAAACATACAAATAAAACACCATTAGTAATTCTTAGTGGTTCTAACTTTTTTCCTTAACCTAGAAGATTTACTTTATGTAATAACATTCCATTTACAATACATGTATTTAATTAACTAACATTTATATATTACAAATTAACTAAAATGTATTCTAACTGTTTCAACTGTTCGACAGTTAATCAAATAGTAACACCATTTCATATTGAAACAAACATCACGTTCAACAAATACAATACTCTCGTCAAAACACCCACCTTGTTCCCTCATCAACCAAGCGCTAGTTAATTGATTGCCTGGACCCTAGTTGAACTATTTCTTAGTTATCTCCACTCAACTGTGACTCGTATGCTCGCTCTCTGCACTATCTCCAAAACAGCCAACAGACAGTTACCGCTAGAAGCCCGGGTATATCGCCTAGCAACCTTAACCCCTCCAAAACCCTCTTTAAATCAAAACATCAAACAACAAAACAAACAAAAAATCAATTACATACATGCATCAACAAAGTTATTTACAGTCGGGATCCCCTCGGTAAGACGCATTTCAATGTCTAACGGTACTGTTTTTTTCAGATACGGCTTTGGACTGAAACCCAACGTATCTGAGTAGTTTGTGTACACCGTTTGTGGTATTTTTTTATTATTATTTTTTTGCAAGTCCAGTTGCATCACAAACTCACTTTAAAAAAAAAAAAAAAATCAACTGACTTCCTCGCCTCCCACCCCCCCAAAACTGGATAATAATCTTAAATGGCAGCCAAATTAACACAAGATTGAAACACAATCAACCTTTTTCTATGTTCATCTATATCTCTGGATGTAGATCTCACAGAAAAACCTGAGGGGTGAGCAGAGAACAGTGGTTCTCAATACATTTAATGGTAAAGATTTTATGCATTTACTTCAAGGCTTATTATCAACCTTTAAACAGGGGTGATTAATACATGTTGCATTTTGTACATGTAAAAATCAGTGATTCAAATTTAAACTTCCTGTTCTGGCAAATTGACTTGAATGAGAAGAAACAAAAGCAGCTGATTAATGCACTTCATTCAGGAAAAGAAAATCCACGAGTGGTACAAACTTTTGTTTGGCAGAGCAGACACACGGCACAGATTTCCATACTTCAACTTGATTTTTATTTCACTTTTTTTATTCGCTTGATCATCATCTCCAACCCAAAGACAAGAATACACAGCATAAATTGAAAATAATCCATTTAATAGTTTACAACTTCTCATCTTTAAAGATTATTTCATATTTTCAGTCCGACATTCACACTCTCCTCGAAGCCATGGAACTGGAAAACGGGGAATCTCACGCCGCTCCCCTCCCCACCAACAAAAAACACACAAAATTAATTTAAATCTGATTCGCTTTTAGACGTTTTCGGGCTGGTCGGGTCGCTGAGATGAGGGAAGGGAGTCACAGGTCATGTTTTCAGAGCAAAGTGAAATCAGTTTTTTTCCCCCTCTTTTTAAAAACAAATAGAAAAGGACCAGTATGTGCATTTACATGCCCTTTCAAGCCCTTTACAAAACGACTTCATCCCAGCAAAGGAAGGAAAAATAAAGGAAAACACAAGAGATCCAGATGATGGATTTGCATTTTCTTTGCCCCTAAAATGAAACAAAACAACAACAAGAAAATAAAACAGTATCCAGGTTGTAAGCTCATGATGAACGATTTCTAATTGCACAGTCGTGCTGCCCCTCAACGGGAGCGTGACAGATTTGAACATTTAAACTTTTCTTGCATTTGCAAAAGAGGTTTCACGTCAAGAGTAGAAACGACCTTATTTACAGTTCTTCACATGCAGCTCAGAAGCCGAGTTGAAATTGCAGCCAAAAGAATTACGTCCTATGCGGATAAAAGACAGATAGCACACCGTCGCGCTCTCTCAAAGATGATTTTCTTCACACACACACACACACACACACACACACACACACACACACACACACACACACACACACACACACAGAGAGATCTGACCACGCCACACACAGGTGCTTGTTTCCTTCCTCCTCAGTTATAGTATCCATAGCTTTAATGTTGGGCTCACTTCCATTTGTAAAATGTCAACAGCTTCATAGAAAGAACTAATCAGGCGTGATTAACATACAGCTTGAATAAGACCACACACACACACACACACACACACACACAGGAATAGGTGTATGAAACGTCCTCTCAATCTGCCAGCCTTCCATTCTGCACAGCTCCCCCTTGTGCTCACTACCTTGTAGCACATGCTTCATCTGGTTTGCCTCCATTAAACAGAAGCAGATTAAATAAAACTATTTTTAAAAAAAAGCTCTAAAAGAAATAGAACATTGTACTGATTTACATTACAAAAATGTTGAGCTTCCACATGGATTTTACAGCATCATTTTGGATTGTAAATGACAGTCAAACCATGCAGGTTAAAAGCAAACCAGTTTACCATAAAGGGAACTTTAAAAAAAAAAAAAAAAAAAAGGGGGAGAAAAACAATGCAGGCATGGCAGTCATAGTGTCCTTGCTTTTGGATGGAGAGAGAGAGATCGAGCGAGTTAACGCACCAAAACAAAAACGGGCTTCACAAAAACAAACAGCAGGTTGAAGAGAAGATCAAGAGAGCACGTAAGGCCAAACGAAAGATGCGTCTTGGCAACGGAGCTGCTCTGCAAGAGGCCGTGGATGCGAGAGGTGTTCGCGGGGCGGGGAGCACAACTCAAGTCGCTGCTCCTCAGTAGTACAGTGCATCATTCAGATTGTGTGTGTGCGTGTGTGTGTGTTAAAGCCACGTTAGAATCACACCATTCAGAGACCCAACAACGCCAGGGCGTGACGTCCAATCAGGACTCAACATGAAACCAAATGAAGCTCCATTGCATCCTCTTAAGATTACTTTTGTACATATATGCATACAATTATACTTTCCAACTAATCTTTTATGTGGATTTTATTTAATCTGATCAGCGGGGTTTTTTTTTGTTTTACAACTATATACAATGTACAGGCAGATCATAAATCTTTTACAATGAATGAGTGATGATACATACTTGTCTCGTTATAGACCGACTAAATCTATTTAGACAATGTACATTGTGAGTAGCTGGAATTTTGTTTAGAAAATGATATCTAAAAAAAGGATGAAAGATAGTACAATAGACAAACATTTGTAAAAGCCCTCAGTATGTACAGAAAAAAGCCAATATAGCATTCATCAACAAACAGAAGAAAAATGTTCAGCAGAAAAAAAAAAAAAAGATTTCTCCATATACACATATCATGAGCTCAAAAATATTTCCAAAGCTAGTAGTATATCTCTGATTTGGTCACAGAAGTTAAAAGATGAGTGAAGCATAGTGAGAGGAGTTATATCGGCGGGTCATAGTGAGGCTGTGAGTTCAGTAATGAGATGCACAGACTGCTGTTAGTTTTCTTCATGCAGACGCTCCCCAACCCTCCGTTGCATTTGGCGACTAAACAAAAGCTGCCGACGTCCTGCCACTAACGTTAACAGAAAGAAAACAGAGTGAGGTATTAAGGTTCCTATCCCCGATGATGGCATGCTTCTGACGAGAGTGAAGGTGGCTTCCAAAAAAAAGAAAAAAGTTTCCTTTGCTCCGACTAATAATTCAGTCTCTGTTGCTTGA